ATTGATTGTGTGAATGAAGGATATTGAATTGATTATTTGATTGAATTGATTGTGTGAATGAAGGAAGATTCGAGAAAGAAGATGCTGGAGGAAGAAGATGAAGATTCGAGAAAGAAATTGCTGGAGGAAAAAGATGATGCAAAATTGTAATTTGGTGGGTCCCACTTTTGTTTTTGCGTTGGTATGACCGTGTCATCATTTATCCAGGTGTACAACTGATGTGGCTTAAATTTTTGATATATCTGTGAGTTAATGGACGATTTCTAACGGAAGGACCAAATCGGGGTAAAAATAGTAAACAGTAGGGACTAAATCATGGATTTTTTTAGTTTAGGGACCAAATCGGGGATCCATACAATAGTTCAGGGACCAAAGAGGGGTTTTAACCTTTCAAAAATATCATCCTTTAATAAATATTTTAAAAACTAACTGTTAGATTTAATTAATATTTTATTTATATATATCATACATGTTAACTTTTAAAATAAAAATAGAAACACAAATTTGTCCTTTAACTTATCTCTCCCCATCTAGCACCTGTGGTTATCTTTTAACCTTATCTCCTTATTTCAGTTCAGAACTAATTCAAGTTGTAAAAGTCATTTATTAGCTGTTACTGATTCTGGTCGTGCAGTTTCGTCACAATCTAATGATATGTTTCATCTTAATAATGTTCTTGTGCCAACATAGCATCGTCAATTTGCTAACGATAGTAATTCTAGTGTTGACTTTAATTCTTCTGATATATATTTCTATTAAAAATGTCAAAATGAAGAACGGCCTACTTCCTTTCGATCGTTCGGGGGATTATATCTGGTGTCTAGCTTGTCTTTTAGTTGTGCTTATTATCCTAATCCCTCATCTACTGCAGCACATAAATTGGCTACTTGTTCTTCCTTGTTCCTCCTTTTTCTTTTTCTTTTTTCTTTTTTTTTTTGATATTCTAGCCTTCATAAGGAATACATGTGTCTTGAGCTAGAAACAAATAAAATCATATTGTCCAGACATGTCGCATTTAATGAGACCATTTTTCCATACATTTCTCATCTTCAAACAGCTTCCAGTTCGGCTCCTACACCAACATTTCGGGCTTCCTTTCACCTTGTTGGAAATAACCCTTTCTTTGCCTCAAACATAATCAAGTCTTCAGTCTTCAGCGTTAAGCCGACAAGTTCAAGAACCAGCCCCTATTCCAAGCCCATTATTTTCGCATACCTTGCCTTTACAAATTCAAAACTCAACCCAAGCAATAAGCCCACAAAGATCCACTTGTCCATTACCCATGGGCCCTTCACCAATTCCAAATTTCCAATCCCGTCCTTTCCACAAGATGCCACAAATGTTGCATTGAATTCACGGATATAATATGGTTGTGGTTATTCCCGTTTCAATGGCCGCCAAAATCTCTTCTTTTTTTTTTTT